AGGAAGAGAATATCTTCCTGTGAACTTCAACTCCCACCATTTCCTTCCCACCGGACCTCCTGGGGGAAGGACCGCTTACACCGCCCTTTGCCCTGCGTCACAGATGGCCTTGCCTTCACTCTAAATTGGTTCACGGGCAGGAGTCCGTTTTCCTGGGCAGAGTGTTCACTGCATTCTCCACTTACAGATTCTCCACACACAGCAAATATGTGCTGAACTGTTAAAGCACCTCAGTCCGAGTTTTCCATCGTGAGAAACTAACATGTTCTTGTGTCTAAGCAACTTAACATCCGGGTTTAAATACCAAGTGTTTAGCCAGGGCCCATATTCCTCTCAATGTTCTTCCAGTGTATCTCCTGGTGCTTAGTTTAGGCTGAGGATATTTACACTAGTAACATCAGAAAAGGAATAGACCGCATGGCTATAGACTGAATTCTGCTTCATTCTGCCAGGTCTCTGGAGCAGTCAGCTTCACAAGGTGTCTGCTTCCTATACCTCAGAGTAAGACATTTTTCTCCAGTTATGTTTCCGTTCTCAGGCGATCATTCTCTACAGCAGGTGGCAGCTGAGGGCAGCATGAAGCCAGGGAGATGAAGTATGAAATAATTTTAATCTGAATTTTTACAAATGAGTATTGCAGGGGGAGCAGAGACAAAATATGCCTGTGAACTGACACCAGGTGAACGGGAGGCATGGTAGTATTACCAAATGACTCCAGACCCATCTCCTCAGCCAACTGTGATGCGGTCTAAAACACATAGCTGCTCACTTCAATTCTGAATGCCTTGGCCTAATTCCTCATTTTATCATGAGGCCCTCTTCTTATCTTTTAAGGATCTTGAACACGACTTTGAGATTATTCAAAAGTTACAGTGTAATTTGGGAATTGACCCCATGCCACAAAAATGCATTCCTTTACACATTATGCCATTTTCTGTTATTTAAAACATCAACACCTAGAGAAATAAGTAAAAAACCTTTCCATAAAGATCCATATATCTCATTAAAACTGTACTCTTAATCTGTTTGCTAAACATTTACTAAGCAGGTTTTGTGAATGACAGTTTAGAACCTAGACATTAGTAAAACAAGTCTTTGACCTTGAAAAACTTCCGACCTAAAAGGAAAGACACTCACATAAGCCAAACTCTTACCCAAATGCAGGCCCAACCTAGAACCCTCGCTCTCTCCCACATCTCAGAAACAGACACACCATCTTCCCCGTTGTTTAACCCCAAACCGGGGACTCACCCTTGATTCCATTATACTCCATGTCTATGGCTACCACCCACATCCAAACCACTGTTATCTTTCACTTGGACTGAGGAAATCACTTTCTAAAAGGTTTCTTGCTTCTATACGTTCTACAGATTACACATGCATCCTCTTTGTGGTATGCAAGTCTTCAAATTACTCTCCTTTTCAGGGCCCGCGAATGGCTCCCCAGGGCTGTTGGAAAGGAGACAACTCCTTCCAGCGGCCTTCCAGGCCCTACAGCAGCTGTACAGATGCACCCTCAACCACCCTTCTCTGTACTTACTGTCTTCCCTCTCCTCCGACCCTCTTTCAGTTTCTCATTTTGAAGCCACTGTGCTTGCTTTGTACTCGGCCTGAAATATTCTCCTCGCCTCTCTTTCGGTTGAGCATCACCTTCTCTCCACTCAAGTCTTGGATTAAATATCCTCCCCACCTGAAACCTTTCCTAATCACAGCATCAAATACTGCCTAAGACATTTTACGTTAATTACACGTTCACTTTCTGCATCTATTTATAAACTACCTGCCCTTGCCTGTTTCCTCCGGCTAGCTGTAAACTGACATTCTTGGTGTTGTTGGAAACCAGGCCACTGTGCCAGAACCTGCCTGCCTCACAGGAGGCACTCAGAAGGGACTTGTGGATAGATGAGTGTCCATTGAAAGGAACAAAATAAAAATGACAGAAATGGAGCAAAGTACTGTGGGGAAAGGATGCATTTTTCATTGGGGAGAAAAGCTAGAAGGAACTTTCAGAGGAGAGATGGTCTACACTAAGCCTTATAGGACAAGTGGGTGCATCTTAAAACATATTCCAGGTTCTGAATCGAGCAAAGGAAGAGCCCAAAGGCATGGCTAGCGGGTGAGGCTGAGCAATGACTAAGGTACCAGACACATGGAGGGATGTGCTGAGAAGAGCACAATCTGTGGACAGCATTCGTGACACGGTAAAGGGCTGCACTTTTATTTTGTACTAGAGGCCCATGCATGAAATTCGTACAAGGGGCTGGTCCCTTGCAGCCGCAGCGGCTTGCCTCAGCCCTTGCAGCCCTGGCTTCATCCGGAAGGTCGTCCAAAAGGACATCTGGTCTAATTAGCATATTACTAGTATGTTTTTATTATTATAGATACCATGGAAAGTCACTAAAAAGCTCTGATATAAAAATTAGTACACTCTGACCTGCATTTTATAAACACAGAAAAAAACTATTTTAACTTAAAAACAAGCAAACACAATAACAAACAAGCAAAAAATAAAAATAAAAACAAGCAAACAACAAAAAACTGGCATCACTTTTCAGAGGGCTACACATTCACCTGTGTTTGGAGGGAAAAAGAAGGACTGAGATCCCCTCTTTAAATGCAAGAGAAAGAGGGGCACACGGTCGGTGAGCCTGTGTCTCAGAGGATAGGTCAACTGCAGATCAATTTTTGGTTTTCAAAGGCACTGAACAGCGATATAACATTTCCAAATGGTTTCAGAGTAGAAGGTACCGCCATCGAGGAAAAAGAAGCTGACACCTGTATTCTAAGGTTGGAACTGGGTCCAAGACTGGGAGATGATCCCAAGCAAGCACTCTTCATATCCGAGGACAATTGAATTAAAAATATTGTTGCCCTAACCGGTTTAGTTCAGTGGATAGAGCGTCGGCCTGTGGACTCAAGGGTCCCAGGTTCGATTCCGGTCAAGGGCATGCACCTTGGTTGTGGGCACATCCCCAGTGGGGAGTGTGCAGGAGGCAGCTGATTGATGTTTCTCTCTCATCGATATTTCTAACTCTCTATCCCTCTCCCTTCCTCCCATCACATAGATGAATCACACCATGTAAACTGAAATGAACTCTGAAGACCTGCATATTATATTAAAGTTAAACAAAGTGACCATATAAATGATTCAACTCGGCCACAATAAAAGGCAGTTGGTAAAACTACTATAAAGCAGCATGCTTCAACCTTTTGCATCTCATGAACACATAAAAAAATTACTAAAATTCTGCAATACACCAAAAATATGCTGATCTGACAAAAAAAATAGGTATAATATCAATGCATTCACACTAGATGGCTATGTGTTGGCTGCTGTCATTTTTTTTTTTTCTTTGATAATCTAAGGGAAAAGAGATCAGTGCCCCTGACTAAATAGTCAGGTATTACATGTTTTAAAATTCTTGTGGCACACCGGCTGAAAATCACTCCTGTAAGGAATTAAAGACCTACCACAAACATGCCTTCCAAAGTAACCCACTGCTCTGAGAGGGTTTATTAACATGGCTTATTTCAAGACATATTTATTTAATAAGCACAGCTCTCTTCAACTGACACAACAGAGTCAACTGCTTGCTTTTACTTCCAGAAGTTCTGGAAGGAGGGAGAGGCCCAGGAGCCTGCAGCAGCCCTGGTGTTGCACTAACGGGCTTGCTTTTTTTTTATTTTAACTCAAGCAAAGTGTCAGAGCATGGCTTTAGCTTGCCTATAAAATAAGAAATCCAGAAATGTGACCAAAGGTCCCTCCCAGGTTTAAACCCTTCTGACAATATGTATATATTGCATAACACATGAACACAGACAATACTGCAGTGAAGGCCTATGGAGGGGCAGACAGGGAGGCAGAAAGAGTCAATGGGGAGGAAAAAAGGGAACATGTATAATACTTTCAACAATAAAGATAAATTTTTAAAAAAATTCCTGTAGGCATGTCTGCTTTCCATGGACCAGTATACTGACCTGAGCTGGAGGAGGGAATGCCACTATAGTTCTAGTGCTTGTAAGAAGTGCTGAGCCAGGAGCCATGGACAATGGAACAGGCCCGCCCCAGGTCTGAAGTAGCCCATGGTCAGAGCATGGGTTGGAAATCAGAGAGACTTGGACTCACACCAGAGCACTAACTATGAAACTGGGTGAGCAAGCCTTTATAAAGTCTATGTGAAACGGGGACAGCGTAGTGAGAAGTAAAAGATGGAAGGGAGGTGCTTAGCTCAGTGCTTGTGGTACAGTAACTACTAAATAAATGACAGTCCTAGAAGGTGTTGTCAATATTATCTCATTTGCTATTAGATTTAACTTCATTGCTTTACACGGTATTTTCCTTATAGAACAATAAACGTATGGAACCTCACAAAACTGGAAAGGACCGCCAAAGTCCTTTCTTCTAGTTCTCTGTTTTAAACTGTTCTCATTATTACCACCATTTCACTGATGAAACCACGAAACACCTGAGTAGTTAAGGTCGGCCAAGGTCACCCAGCTATGAAGTCCATTTAAAACACAATGTTTGTGTCCTCAGAGGCCCCCAGTGCTCAGAAGATGTGACGATAATTTCCTGGCTTATGCTGTGCCCTCAGAATTAAAACTGTCTCTGTTACTACAATCAATTTGTAACATGAGATGAAAGTGCTTTAGCCAAAGATAGATCGTGTACTGAGTAATCAAAGTGCCAACTCTAAAATATTAGACAGTTAGGAAAATGATAATGAAGCTCGTAACAACCCTTAGTAATGCTTATTATGCTATTTAGCGAAAAATAAAATCAGAATATGTAATCTCATTTATTTTGTGATTATAAGTAAGCAAAATTACATACATATATAGCAAGGGCTGGAAGGGAACCTGGAAAATGACTGCAGCTGATTGGATAAGGAGGTGAGATTGCAGAGGTGTTATTTTTATCTAGAGACTTTAATGGAGTTGACACAATAGACACCACCACGGTGATAATCACAGGGAAGGAGACTCGGCAGTTCACTCACCCTGGGTTGTATAACATGACTGCGGAGAGGTTCTCACAGGACTTCGAGAGGTCGGTCATGGACAAGCTGAAGGAGGACAGAAGGCCACTCTAAGAGCAGACACAGGGCAGAGCGGTTACCTTAGCAGACAGAGGCCAGGGCTCTGGACTCAGTGCTGTTAACTTAGGAGAAGCAATGAAGTGCAGACATTCCCCATTAGCCTTCACACCAGCTGGTCGGTCTGAGGATGGCAACTCAGGGGCAGTCTCAACCCTAAACCCTCACTAAAGAGAGCAGGGCCCTAGCATGCATGACCTGGGGAAATTAACCAGGAACTCTGCACCCCGATGGTCTCCCCAACCACACTGCACTCAAGTCCAGGGAATGGTCAGGGCATCTGCCACCCTCCTTCCGGCGGGAGCCCTGTCCTGTTATCAGCAGCGCTCATGTACACTTGCGGGGTGACACAGATGGAGGACGGAGAGGGAAGGAAGGCCAAAACATAAGAGCTTGACCTCTTTTGCTTCCAGGGAAAGCTATTGGCAAACATATTTCTTGCAACCGTGTATCAGAAAAGACCCTCCAGGGAGACCCTGGACTGGAACAGATAAGAGGCTTCAGGGGCTGGGACAAGCAGCGTGGAGAAGGTTGATGTTTGCAGCTTTCTTATTTCCCATCCACAGATAGCACTGGCAAGCTCCGGCAGCCCTTACAAGAGCAAGCCGAGATGAGGGACTATGTAACTCAGCGCTGAGGGGCAAACAGTTGCGGTTGGCAGGCCAGGGTTACAGCCCTCACTCCTCACTCACTGGCTAAGGAACTAGTTTGTCTGTTCCTCATCTCCATCATCTGTGAGATGGGAGAGTAACAGCTGCTGCACAGATAAAGCAGTAGAATATATGTGGAAGTTCCGTACAGTGCCTGGCTCATAGAAATATCATCACCCTCAGTCTACCGACAGCATGATGACCCTACACAGACCCCGCTCCCCCTCATTTCTTCCCATGTCGCTGGTCCCCACCCGGCACTTAAGTACCCTCTGGATATTCTTATCCAACCAAGATGAAGTCTCCCCCAGTTGTCCTAAACTCACTCGCTGCTTCACATCTCAAGAAAAATCAAAACAAAAAAACAAAAACAAAAAAACAGAGTAAGCACGCTTTGGGATGATAGTGATTCTGATACTGGGTTAATCCTAACCTAGATGCTCAAAAGTGGACGTCACTCTCCACTTAACGTACAATGATACCAAGCTCCGCTGTGAAGGGAAGGGTCTAGGACAGTGATGGCGAACCTTTTGAGCTCAGCGTATCAGCATTTTGAAAAACCCTAACTTAACTCTGGTGCCGTGTCACATATAGAAATTTTTTGATATTTGCAACCATAGTAAAACAAACTTATATTTTTGATATTTATGTTATATATTTAAATGCCATTTAACAAAGAAACAATCAACCAAAAATATGAGTTCGCGTGTCAGAGGTGACCATTTAAACTGTTTAGGTGTCATAGGTTCGCCATCACTGGTCTAGGAGCTATTCTCCTGCTTGGAACTTCACTTGCTTACCCTCCCATGTCATCAGCCAGTAATCTGCTGGGAAACAGACTCCCCAGAATCACCCCAGGCTACATAACTTTTGTGGCTCTGTACACAGGAAAATTAAACTCTAGGCACCAGAGTGGAGATGCCCCAGGCGTAGCCCCACCCGGACCAGAGCTGGCTCCTGGGGATTTCATGCAGCTCACCTTCCTCTTCTCCCTGAGCTTGGCAGCCTCCTTCGGATGGTTAAAGCGAAACATATTGGTTCTTCCCAAGAGTATCACGGCACCTGAGAGCACACAAAAACAGTAATGAGCTTACAGTAAGCAAGCTGGACAGTTGGTAACATCATAACATGGAATTTTATCACTGAAATGCAATTTCCAGTGGACTATAACACAATAATAGTAAGGGGAAGAGTTAGTCTCGGAAAACCTGCTTTCATAAGTCATTTTTAAATGTGTAAAATGTGATACTTTTTACAGCCAAGTATCACAATGCTCAGGTTACCCAAGGAAGAAGTAATGGATCCAAGCATTCACATACGCTATGACATTTAAAACTTACACATTTGATTGCTGAGAAGAAGAAAAAAGAAATCAATTCTTCAAAGAGATAATACAAATGGTCACAAATTTAGGAAATATTTATGAATGCCAATAAAAGTAGAAATCTCAAAGGAAAGTGCTTTCAGAAGAACACATGGTAAAACTGAGAAAGTACTAAAGGTAACTACCACTAAATTGTCCCTTAGAATTTGAGAGAAAAGAAATTCTGTACATATAACGTCTACTTCCATTGCTTCCTGTTAAAACTGAGATGGTCAAATGAGACACACACACAAAGAAAACCCTTTTGATTGACTAAGGTCCTATTTATTCAGAAAATGACTGCAAAAGGGGCAAAATAACTCAATGTCAATGCCCCAGGCTAACAAAATTATTGGGGCTGGGCAGCAAATTTCAGCTTGCTTACGCAAATAAGCAAGCACACACTTTGGAAGGCCAGAGCCAGGGAAGGCTGGGAGCTACTGGTCACTGGAGGCGTCTAAGGGAAGTGATGTTCCAGAAGAGCTTCACTGCCTTATCCAGTCCCATCAACACCTGCGAGTCTACCACGCCTCAGAATGGACCCCATGTTCAATCTTTGCTCTGAAAAAGAATGCGACTTCTTTGTGAAGATAAGACACACTCGATGTCAACCATGAAGGACATCATGAGATGAGGTGTGCAGCAGCCAAGTGACGAGTGCAGGCTGCAGTAGGTGGGGACAGGCTTTTGCACCAAGGAACTAATAATCTGGGTCTCACAGGACAGCTAGAGAACAAAAGAGGGGTTCCCACTGTAACCACAGGGGAAGGGCTGAGCCTGCTATGTCTGGAGATGTCCACCTAAAATACGGGTCATCTAAAGCAGCAGGGGGACCAACATTGGCGAGATGACACAGACTGTGAGCATCCGGAGAGCCAGGATGGAGAATCTGCACCCACGTTCCAAAATGGGTGGCCAGAACAAAATTCAGCTCACAGATATGATTTGTGTCTTCTGTGGAATCTTTAAAAAACACATTAGTTGCCAACAGTGAAAAACCTGCAATTGACACGTAAGTCTGAGTTTCTTTCTGGATTCCCTTCAAAAATTGGAAGATAGGGTATCAGTAGGTGTGTGATGCCATGTGGCAAAAACCCCGGCTGCTGGTGGCTGCTTCCTTTGGACAGAGCATGTTACCTCTGGTTGACTAGTCGCCAACCGCTCACTGGATCTCGAAGGTAACACCATAACCCCAGACAGCTAGCTATTCTGGAGTTCACACCAGTACATCTGCCTGCTATTCAACATATTACCTCAGATTCTCAAAGTTTCCAATTCAATGTGGTGAAAACCTAACAGGTTTAGGTCATAATCAAGGGACAAGTGGAGGGTTCGTTCTGGTGGTGGTAAGGATTTAGTGCAGCCGTGGGCAAACTATGGCCCACGGGCCGGATCTGGCCCGTTTGAAATGAATAAAACTAAAAAAAAAAAGACCGTACCCTTTTATGTAATGATGTTTACTTTGAATTTATATTAGTTCACACAAACACTCCATCCATGCTTTTGTTCCGGCCCTCCGGTCCAGTTTAAGAACCCATTGTGACTCTCGAGTCAAAAAGTTTGCCCACCCCTGATTTAGTGGAAAGAGAGTCCATGTGAGAAGGAAAGCACGCCTTTAGGAGACTGAGAAGGGCAGCTGTGGGCATTATCCACTCTACAGTCTGCGTATCCCCTCATATAAAATCGCTTCATATATTTCCCAATTATGGAGAGGCACCATCACAATGTGGGTTGAAAATTACTACAGTACATTAATGGAAAAAAATAGAATAGTATTGCAGAAACAGATTTCATATCATATTAAGTCATTAAAAAATAATCTTGCAACCCTTGTGTTTGCATGAAATACACGTAAAAATCTTTTTAAAAAGTTATAAAAGAAAACAAAATTACCCATGACCTTTCCTTGTTTCCATCTAAATAATGTGTGTGAACTACCTGGCACATAAAAGAGGCTCTGCTAAGGCTGGTTTACCTCTGTTTCCTCCATTGCATCCTTTACTCAACAACTTACTGACTTTAAAAATGTGCTTCATTTTTACATAATGCTGCTGTTCATTCATTCACTCAACACACCTTAATGAACATTTTCCATACGCTAATCACTGTGATCAGCACTGGGGACACAAAGGTGAACAAGTCAGACATATGCCTTGCCCTTAGGGAGCTTACAAACAAGTAGGAGAGAGAAGTAAATAATCAAATAATTCCTCAAATAAATGCAAAGCTGCACCTGAAAGAGAGCTCCCCTGCTCAGTGTTCAATGAGCACATAAGGTGGGGGGAGCGGGGTGACAGCAGGTGAGGTCAAGAAAGGATGCCCTGCCAGCACTGGTTTGGCTCAGTGGATAGAGCGTCAGCCTGCGGACTGAAGGGTCCCAGGTTCAATTCCGGTCAAGGGCATGTGCCTTGGTTGTGGGCACATCCCCAGTGGGACATGTGCAGGAGGCAGCTGATCGATGTTTTTAACTCTCTATCTCTCTCCCTTCCTCTCTGTAAAAAATCAATAAAATATATTTTTTAAAAAAAGAAAGAAAGGATGCCCTTAGGGAGGCAGTGCTTAAGACAAGCTCTGAAGATTGGGGTGGGGGGGGGGGGGGGCGGTTTGCAGATCAGGGAGTAGCATATATAAAGGTTCATTAGCAGGTAAAAATGATGATGATGATGATGAGTGATTGGAAGACAGTTGTATGTCTACAGCAGAGGGAACAAGAAAGGGCATTGCACAAGATGGGGCTTGAGAGGGAGCAGACGACAGAGAATCTTTCAGGATACAGTAAAGAATCTTGTATTTCAGGTAGGTGCAACAGGAAGACACTGAAGGGCGCTGGGCAGCAGCATTACATGATTAGATGTGAGTTTCAGAAAGATCATTCTTTCCACTGTTTGCAAAATGAATCAAAGAGGGCACAAGTAGATACAGATAAACAAGGTAAGGAGACTACTGCAATGGTCCAGGTCAAAGACAATGGTGGCTCAGGACTGGAGAGGTGGGGTAGACAAGAAAGGAAATAAGATATTTAGGAAATAAGAACAAGACTCAATGATGGGCTACATACAGGCACAGGGAGGTAAGAAAGTGGCTCCTGAGGTTTGGCCTGCAAGAAGTAGTTGGGTGTTGAGTTGTTCACACAGATTGAGAACACTAGAAAAGGACTAAGATTGGCTTAGATGAGGAGTCATGAGTTTAGTTTTGACATAATGAATCTGAGATGCCTTTGGCAGGCAGAAATTTGGATCTGAAGCTCCAGAAGAACAGCCTAGAATACCTACTAATCTATCTATCCACCAACCTACGCACCTACTCACTCAATCTATCTATTTACCAACCTACCTACTTACTTATTGCCTACTTATATAGGTATACATAACACACACATATGTATACATAATACATAATATCTGTTTATAGATACACACATATAGGTATCATATATGTGTACGTGTGTGTGCATGTGTGTGTGTGTGTGTGCGTGTACTCTCTATATATTTAAGAGTCATCTCTAAGAAATGAAGCCACAGGTGTGAGGAAGTCACCTGAGAGAATAGAGGTGGAACAGACTGGGCCCCTTGGAGAACACTGGCTTTCAATGGCCAACTAGAGGAGCAGGAACCTAGAAAGGAAACAGAGAAGGGGCCAGCAGAGAGGGAGAAGGAAAATCTCAGAAACCAAGGGAAGGAGAGATCAATGATGCAGACGCTGCAGAGAGATCCGAAAAACGCCATTGGCTGTGGTGGCAGGGAGGTCACGAGGGACGGGTGAGAGCATTTTGACAGTGGTCAGAAGCCAAACTGAAGGGGTGGAGGAGTAAGAACGAAGCATCTGAGCCCAGACAGACAACTCACTCAGAAAGTCTGTGTATAAAGAGAGAGACAGAGTTGGCAGTAGCTAGATGGGGGTCATGGGTCCCATGGGATAGTTTGTTGGGTTTCAGTTAAAAGGAGACTCATGAGTATACATTAAAAAGCAATATGAGAGCTGAGGAAAAGTAAATAAATGGATGAAAGAGAATGGCTGCGGGTGTAGATTTCTGGATGATACACAGAGCATGTGCGTTACCCTGCTCTTTTGGTGTATCCAGAATTCAGTATCCTCATTTAGTCATCAAACTAAATAAGGTTCCTTCCAGATCTTAAATTCTCTTTAACTATCAACAAACTACAGCAGATGGACTTTGTGTGAAGCGCTTAATTTGTAACTGTTAGAGTATGTTTAAACCTTCCTGAATATATGACGACATCTTTGAGATTAGTTCAGGGCCTGTTAAATACCTGAAGATAGTCAAATTCCAGAGGGTCTTAAAAAGGGAAATGGCATTGTAAGAGGGTAGACAAAGATAGTTGTTAAGAACAACAAAATAAGCTTCACTTAAATATCTGTTAATAAAACCACTGAAGGTGATTTCACATGAGATTTTCTATTTTAATACTTCAGGTACACTGAAAAATATTAAACATGTAAACATTCCTAGTGACTTTTAAGGAGTATAGTGATAATAATTATCAATATCACTATTGATTTCTCTTACACATTTCATGTCAAGTTTTCTGATTCTGCTATAACACAAATAAATCAACTTTTTTTCCTATTAAATATCATATGAAGATTTCTGAGGTGATGAAGTATGAATATTTCATTCTGGGTTATAATTAACACAAACATGATTAGCTTTGTTCAGCTACTCTGATATCTGAGTGTG